TGACTTTGAGGCTGATTTGTGTGGTTCAACCAGTTGTATATACAACCCACCTTAAAACTGCCCTTTCGATTGCCTTTCCACCACAAAATGTCTTGACCCCCTTCCAGTCCATTAAATTGCCCAATGGTGTTGAAAAAATCAACTACCCTTTGAATCTCGCAATCATTTAATTGTCTTCTAAAGATGAAGTTCCACCCTTGAGGAGTCCAATGATCTACTATGGTCTGCTGTCAGGATACAAGACCTCTAGCCTACCTGCCTCATGCCAAACATCCTTCCAAAATTTTGTTTTCTCTCCATTCCTCACTTTGATCTTTGTGTTAACCTTAAACTCAGACCAGAGAGATCCAATGGATCGCCCATACACTAACCCTATATGGTGTAGTCACTTCTTTGGTCATCCAGTTATCTTCCTCTTCATATTTTACCTTAATGACTTCCTTCCAGTAGGACTGTTCTTCATTATTGAACTTCCACAACCATTTCATCATAAGGGCTTTGCTCTGATTCATCAAATTCTTTATTCCGAGACCTCCATGCTTCTTTCCCACTATCACAACATCCCATTTAACCAAGTTGTAGCCTTTTCTCTCACTGTTTCCTTGCCAGAGAAATTTTCTTCTGATTTTATCCAACCTAGTGATTACACTTTTGGAAATCGGGAATACTGACATCATATAGGTTGGTAGTGAATCAAGAACAGAATTAATCAAGGTCAACCTGCCACCCCTGGAGAGATATTGTGATTTCCATTTTGTTAACTTCATTTCACATTTCTCAACCACATTGTTCTAGATTTCATATGACTGAGATTTGCCCCCAAAGGCATCCCAAGATATGATGTAGGCAGTGCTCCAATTTCCCCTCCCAGAACAGCTTTTAAAGCTTCCATGTTGTGTACTTCATTAATTGGATAGAGGTGGCTTTTCCTCCAATTGATGTGTAGGCAGGAGGATCACCCTCAACATCTTTAGTTGGCCTTCATCAGCATCACATAATATCAAGGTGTCATCAGCATATTGTAGATGGGTAATTTCCACATTATCTACTTCAGGTCTGTTGACCTAAACACCTCTGAGCCATCCCCTCACTTTAGCTGATTTGATCATATTGTTCAGCCCTTCCATAGCAAGTAGGAAAAGGAAAGGAGACAAAGAGTCTCCCTGCCTCAGTCCCCTCTCTGCACTAAAGAAACCAACAGGGGATCCATTTATAAGTACTGAGAATCTCACAGTGGTGATACAATGTTTGATCCACTGGATCCACTTCATCCCAAATCCCAATCTCCCCATTGTGCTCAAAAGATACCCAATTAACATGGTCATAGGCTTTCTCCATGTCTAGCTTACAAGTATTCCTGGTTTCTTTTGCTTTTGTCGGGAATCCACTGCCTCATTAGCTATCAACACTGCATCCATGATTTGTCTTCCTTAGATAAAAGCCATATGTCGGGAATCCACAAGTTCAGCCATTACCCCTTTCATTCTCTCTGTTAGAACTTTAGCAAAAAGCTTGTAGATGCTGCCTATTAAGCTGATGGATCTGAAATCTCTCAATTCCTTAGCCCCCTTCTTCTTGGGATGAGAGTAATAAATGTTGCATTCAAATTTCTTTCAAACACTTCCTACTCATAGAAGTTTTGGAAAGCTTTCATGATGTCCTCCTTTACCACCTCCCAGCATCTTAAGAAGAAACCTATGATGAATCTGTCAGGTCCAGGTACTTTATCAATTTCACACATTGTCAAACATTTTAGGACTTCACTCTCCTCAAAGTTCCTTCGCAGATTCTCCTTTTCCTCCTCTGTTAACCCGGGGCAATTAGCATCAGTATAGGCAGGTCTCTAGTTAGTAGTCTCAGTATATAGCTTCTTGTAGAAGTCTACTATCTCTTCTTCAATTCTGGCAGGATCTTGGGTTAGTTCTCCTTGGATTACTAGTTCATCAATGTTGTTGTACCTCTTGTGTGAATTGGCCATTTTGTGGAAAAACTTAGTGTTCCTGTCCCCTTCTTTTAACCATAGTGATCTTGATTTTTGTCTCCATGAAATTTCTTCATATTTGAGGAATTCCTCGAACTCCAGTAATCTAGAATTCTTCCTTGTTACCTCATCCTCTATTAGTGCTCTACCCTTACTAACTTCATCAAAACCAGCCACTTCTTTGAGTAAGTTCATCCTTTTAGCTCCCAGGTTCGCTTGAGGTTCGCTTGATCACTCCTGCTCCAAACCTTAAGTTTTTCTGTTAATGCCTTAAGTTTTGAAGCAAGTATGAAATCCGGTCTCCCAGAGAAGCTGAAAGTGTCCCACCATTCCTTGATTCTGCTTGTGAACCCTTGTATGTCAAACCACCAGTTTTCAAACTTGAAATAATTTTTGTTTTGGTTCCACACTCCCCCCAGCAATGCAATAGGAGTGTGGTCTAATCCGACCCTTTGTAAAGCTATCTGTTTGATGTAGTTGAAGCTTTCATCCCATTCTTTTGCTTTAACAAAAATTATTCAATTCCATGCTATGACTGCCAATAACTCTTAAATGGTGATTTATCCTTGAAGGGAGTGTTCATCAATCCAGCTCTTGTTGAGCCTTTTGGCCTCACTCTTATTGAGGTAACTTCTAAATTACATCACATGAAGTTTTAGCAGCTGATGCTATGTATGAAAAACGTTATACTCTTCTTTCTGCAGGCAGCTGCTTATGGTTTGCCGATAGTTGCTACGAAAAATGGAGGGCCAGTAGATATACTCAAGGTAAACACTAGCTGGTTTAAACATTAACGTTGATGCACAAGTCTTGAAGATATTTTAGATATAAGTTATCCATTGGAAACCTAAATTTTGCAAGATAAAAATTGGAGTAGAATTATAGAGAAGTGCACAAAATCGTGATAACAAACACTTCATGCAGCACATGACTTTTAGGAACTTCCGAAAAGTGATGCCCCAAGCTTTCTGTTGCAAACTTCCCCATCTTTTTTCAAATAGTTATCTTTTTAATTCCATGTACACCTCAAAGTGGTGACTTACTGTAATTTATGGATGTGTGGAACATAATGTTCAATCAGGCACTAAACAATGGGCTACTCATTGATCCACATGATCAAAAAGCAATAGAAGATGCTCTTCTAAAGCTTGTTGCTGACAAGAACCTATGGCTGGAGTGCCGTAAGAATGGCCTAAAGAATATCCACCGCTTCTCATGGCCAGAGCACTGCCGGAATTACCTCTCCCATGTTCAACACTGCAGAAATCGCCACCCTGCCAATTGTCTTGAGGTCATGAAGCCAGCTCCTGAAGAACCTATGAGTGAATCACTAAGAGATGTTGAAGACCTTTCTCTAAAATTTTCCATTGATGTGGATTTCAAGGCCAATGGAGAGCTGGATATGGCAAGAAGGCAGCATGAACTTGTTGAGATACTCTCACGGAAAGCTAATTCAATCAGCAAGCCTATTGTTAGCTACTCTCCTGGGAGAAGGCAGGTCCTATATGTAGTGGCAACTGACTGTTACAACAGCAACGGATCTCCTACTGAGACCTTATCTCTAACGGTCAAGAATATAATGCAAGTTGCAAGATCCAGGTCCAGCCAAATAGGTTTAGTTTTTCTGACAGGCTTGAGTCTGCAAGAGACTAAAGAAGTGGTAAACAGCTGCCCAACAAATTTAGAAGATTTTGATGCATTGATTTGCAGCAGTGGAAGTGAAATATACTACCCATGGAAGGACTTAGGACTAGATGACGACTATGAAGCCCACATTGAGTACCGGTGGCCAGGTGAGAACATTAAATCAGCAGTGATGAGGCTTGGTAAAATCGAAGAAGGTTCTGAGCATGACATTGCACAATGCCCTAGTGCATCTAGCTTTCAATGCTACTCATATAGCATCAAGCCAGGAGCCGGAGTAAGATTGCTAAGCTACTCTTGATGTTCTAAGTTAGACAATACAAATAGAAATATACAAATTGGTTTTCCTATTTGTATCCAGATAATAAATTACATGTGACAGGTAAGGAAAGTTAATGACCTTCGTCAGAGGCTCCGCATGAGAGGCTTCCGTTGCAATGTTGTCTACACACATGCTGCATCAAGGTTGAACGTGACACCGTTATTTGCATCGAGATCCCAAGCACTTAGGTAAATCCTTTCATTCTTTTACTAATATATGGTCTAATGATACTTCTGTTCTTTGATTAGCAGATACTAGGAAAGATCAATTCAACATAAAATTTGTCAGTCACTCCTTTTCTCTATGTAATGCAGGTATCTCTCAGTTAGATGGGGAGTTGATCTTTCCAGTGTGGTTGTTTTTGTGGGGGAAAAGGGAGATACAGACTATGAAGGCCTGCTTGTGGGCCTTCACAAGACTGTGATTCTGAAACGAAGTGTGGAATATGCCAGCGAGAAGCTTCTTCACAATGAAGACAGCTTCAACACAGATGATATAGTACCTCTAGAGAGCACAAACATATGTGCAGCTGAAGGATATGAACCCCAGGATATCTCTGCAGCCTTGGAGAAGCTAGGGGTCATGTAAAGTTTCCGATGATGTTTCTATTTGACTATTTCCTTTGCAATATCACAGACAAAACTTCAGTCAAAAAGTGAGCACGCGAGTAAAAGTCTGGGTTTCAATCTTATACTTTGTAAAAATATCAAGTTACATATACAATTTCATAATACAACAAGAGTTGAAAACACACTGAACATATATAACATCTAGTTTTATCTGATATCTATTAAAGGACTGCATTTTGACAATCTTCAATTTTAGTGTACTATATACTACAGAAATCACGATCATCGTCCAATTTATCTCATGTAGTCTGCACGTGCTTGAATGTGTTGAACCAAATGCACACCTCCATAAATGTAGTAATCTGAGCTGAAATGATAGATGACAAAGTTCTATAGTACTCTATTAGACTTTGTTTTCTGATAAATCATAGAGTTAGCACACGTGTAATGAAATGTCCAATTTTCAATACGAGAAAGGCTCAGCTTAAGTTCAGTCGCGCGTATGTTATTCATTCAAGCAGAACTCTACTAGCATTTAAAATTGTCTTTTACATAGAATACAGATGCTACAGCAACAAAGTACAAGCCACATTCTTATGCCATCTCAACAACTGCAACAGCTTCCCTGCATTATCTTCCCCATTTTTCTCAAACTATCTCGACCATTATTTGCATACATACCTGATAAGTAATGAAGAAACTCCACCACTTGCTAGTTGAAGTACTTGCCTGACCCTGGTCATTTTCATCCACAAAGATCCATGTCTATCTTGAACTCATTTCCACAAGAACATTTGATACTGTGGGAAATTATCTGAAAGCAAAAATTAATAATTGTGAGTGAAATGGAAAAATAAATTGATGATTTAACTCCATCAATTGGGATATTTTGAATCTCTTTAAAATTTAACATTGATACCACAAGTTGAATGACATGTCAAAGTGCAATAAAGAGTAAATATTTCTCAATACCATCAGTTTTGCAATCTGGAGTTGTAAAGAGTGCAGATACTCTGCCTCTCCAGCTTTGTCTGAGAGAAGTGCTTGGTACTCCTCTTGCAAGGATTTGCTATCCATATCCCCGAGTTGTGCCTGCAGAATAATGCATGATGGTTGATCATAGACTTTTGGAGGCTGATGCTCTGAACTGTAGCAAGTATATTTTCTTTCAATTATTTTGATTAAAAAATTAGAAGTTACGAACATCTTCGTTTTCCTCAAATTCACGAGTTCAACTTTCTGATTTCCCAATAAGTTAAATTTGATGCATTTTTCTGGTCAACTATCCAAAGCAACTGTTTGTTGTGTAATTGCAAATGCCAAGATGGATTTAACAAGCAGTTGTTATTATTATCAAAAGAGAAATGTTTTGAGCTAAGACTGAATTTATGTAATACAGATTGTAACTGACCTTGAAATCATTCATTTTTGACTTCACAAGCTCAATAGATCTCCTTACCTGTCAAAGCAAGATGCCTTTCAGATTCTTGTATTTGAACTGAAACTGAAAATGTATTTGAATGAGCAACAAAGAAAATCTCAGACGTTGATTTCCCTTACAAAGATTTTAACAATAGGACTCAGTTTTCCATTTTCAATTAGAGATTTTCCTTTCTTCTGTCCAGGAGTCAGGATTGGGGAATTTAGGTATTGATAAACCATAGATCTTAGTGTGGATTAAGAGTATATAAATAACCATTAAAGCACCAAAGGCTTTCATGAAAGAGGAAAAAATGTTGCAACTACTGTACTGGTTAATTAAGAAAGTCAACTTCAGTAGCAAGGACAATACAGGGGGAATGATAACCCTGTAATAATTCTGCTTTAAAATACAAGAATCTGATGGGTAAGGGTCAACTCTACCTTCAAATGTTGGAACTAGGAAAGGAAGAGAGACTTCAAGGAACATTGAAGATCTCTGACCTCCATACTGACATACCAACATCTACTCAGCAGGAGAATGTGTCTAGACTGAAGGATATACTTCAATGGTTCATCAAACAACTAATGGTAATAGCAATATCTTTTTGGGGTCTTTATTCGTTTTCAGTGCCCAAGGGAAAGGGCCAGTCACCACACAAAAACGGAATGGTCAGAATTGTTTAACCAAACCTGGCTGTTCTCTGTGACAAGTTTGGACTTCAGCTCACTCATCTGGTTTAGCTTTGTTTTAGCGTCTGCCAAATTCATCTTTAGAATTTCTGCCAAATTATCCTGATTTTCTGTAAATCAATATGAAATTGCCTCAAACAGGATGAACAGGAAAGAGAAAAAGGATAAGAGAAAGAAAACGAAGTTAAGGCAGAGGTGAATATATTGTCTACAGGTGATTCCAAATTAGCTTGTAGCATATTGAGATGCAACTGTTGCTAAATGGTCATTTTTATCATTTGCATTAACCCATCGACATCATGAAATGAGAATATAAACTAACATGCTAGGTCATACCTTCAATTTCACCAGTTTTCTCACCAACTTTGTCCATCACCTGAATGCTTTAGCCATCAGTTCCAGCAGTATATATTTATGATAAGAGTAAGAATCTAATTCAGATAAGCCATTCTATCCCTTTTTTTGGTGGTAGAAAGACAGACTGTCTAGGCAGCAAGTAGTTACTCTACTGATATCATACTGGCAGAGTAATGACAAGTACTATAATAGTTTATGGAGTTTTTACAAAGCTGGGTTAATGCAGGAAACATCATATCACCAGTTAGTTTATGCTCAAATTTGAAATGTCAGATCACCAAGCAATGACTCATACCTCAAAGTTTTCCCGAAATGTGTCATTTGAGAATCACAAGAAACTATAAGTATTGCCAAATCAAAGTACATCAAGTCCAAAACCACTATATCTTCAAAGCTAATGGACAAGAATTCTTATAGGGAGGATGCAGAAGAAGTTAACTTGACTGAATAAAAAATTGAATCTAAGCAGCTTGTCTCGGCCAAAGCCTTGGGCTTCATAAATATCAAGTTACTTTGATAATTGCACTTGAAAAATTCAGAAAATCTGTAAACCCACAACATATTCAAATATTGCACTTGAAAAGATAAGCATAACATAAAATAACATAATTTTAACTGTAATCATACTATTCTCGGTAATTTCTGATACTACGTAGAATCTTATGTTCTTTCACAGCTTGAAATAGAATGTATGCATTTCATTATGTTAGAATACACCTCTTGTAATTACCTTTGACCTGGCTTTTTGAGCATTTGTTTTTCCCTTCATTGGGTTTTATATACACAAACATTAAAAAATCTTACCCGGTTTATCTGTTGGAAATTTATAATTCCAAGACAATTTATAGAAAAGAGCACCAAAATTCAGGGAAAATAAAACATTATGACTTAGTACAAATACCTGGCCATTATCTCCAACCCACAAGTTCTGTTTGCAATCTTTGATCCAACCCTAAAAGTAGGAACCCTTGCTTGTGATCAAAAGAAAGCTTATATAGTTGAACAATCTAAGCGGAAAGCAACAGAGAAGGGAACATGGAAAAAAAACCTGTTGTTCTCCTAGCTGAGCAGTTACTTCTTCAACAGTTTTAGCATAATAGTCACTGTTATGACAAACACATGCACTTAGCATTATGTACTGTCCATCAGAAATCTCCGATATATGCTTTCCAAGTTACCTTTTCTGTAGAAGTTTTGCTGACATGTTGTTTCTTTCTTGTTGAAGGAGCTCTGATGTCTGTTTGACAAACAAGGATCAAAGAATATATGCTATATCACATGATTCCCAAAGACTAACCCAACTTTCCTTTATCAAAAGATAAGTTTATGTCAAGTAAAAACTTGCAAACCTATCTCCTAAATAACCAAAATTATTTCTCCCTTCTATGCAAACAATGCTAAGAATTTGAACTCCAAGATTGTGCTTCGTTTAAGTACTTCAAGAATTTGCAGTTTATAGCTCGACAGTCAAATAATAGACTGCTTCCGTAATATGCATTACTTCATCCTTCTTTCAACAGTATGTTTCTGGAGAAAAGACGAGACCAAATTTTCTATCTTTACATAATTTTCATCCCCCACTTCTGAAAATTACAGAATCATAACTAGCCTAATCTTTATGTCAAAACACATTTACTTCTAAACTTCTGTTTTAGAACCCATGTCTAGTTGGATTATGCCATTACGGTTGTGAAGCTGAGAACAGATAGAGTACATATTTCTGGTTTCATGTACCAAATTTAGAAACATCACCAATCCTATCCATCAAGGGCGATGTGAGGCTTTTAGTTTCAGCTCCATTTCAAAGTTAATTGATGCCAGCTCTTAGTTTTACCTGGTTGAGGGTGGAAGAATCAGCTCCTAAAGAAGCAATTTTTCTTTGTTTTTCCAAAATCATGGAACAGATCTGCCCCCTTTTCTCCAGTATCCTGGCAATTTCCTCTCTGAGTTGGCTTGTCTGACATTTCACTGCATTGTATAGCAGTTTAAGGTTTAGGTGTTGCAGAGTTCTGCTATTCCACAGGGAAAGTTATTTGACTATTAGAAAAACATGAGGGAAAAGAGAAATCAATAATGTCTAAGGTAGAAAGTATTATTAAGATTCAGAGCTCCACAATATGCAATTTTCATGTAATAGACCAAATTGTAAGAGATGAAGCAGAAAGTGAAGCAAGGTCAAGATAAATTCTAATGGTTTCAACCTTGTGAAAATAATATAGATTTCTGGAAGTGCCCAGCCACAGCCCACATCAAAGAAGAAAAAAGACAAAAGGAACAAGAAAAAATCTAGCAACAAAAGTCGGACATGATGGACTGATGTTTCCCGGGAGTGAAAATAAACAGGTATCCTATTCCATCTTTGAAACTAAACACCTGTGAACAAAATTCTCTGCAGAAGAAAAAAACACAAGATTGCAAAGGATACTGCACATGGATAAGCCAAAAAAGAAGGGAAATGTGCTTTAACCATTGCAGGACTGTGTCATTCTCCCTCTATCAGGATTTGATGAATATGCAATTGAATCTCATCATTTGGTCTTCTTAGTCTTTCTAGATCTGATGCATGCCTCAAAGAGTTCATTTTATCATGCATTATGACCATAGCTTTAAAAAAACAGTGATAGAGGGGTAGTGTGACGGCCCATTATCTGCCTAGTTTCTAACCTGCATCATTAACCGTTTGGGATTTCTCAGTTATATATAAATAAAAAATAACAGTGGTAGAAAGAAAGATGGAAAAGGCCGTGGAAATCCTTGTTTAAGGAGCCCTAGACAAATGACCAAAGCACATGATTACTGTAGGTAATGTCCACAGTTTTGATCTCAGATGAACTCGGCAACAAATTGTACAACTTGAACTAGAAAACCAGAATAAATAATAAGAGCCAGCAATAGCATAACTTCACCAAATGAAATGTCTAACTCGGCCAACCAACAATATTCAAACTAAAGTTGGCACTAGAGCCAGCAATAGCATAACTTCACCATATGCACTCTTACTTCTTCTAGTAAACATGAAACATAAGTAAGAAGGCTACGATCCATATTATGAAAATGTCAAAAACACAACACAACTTGGCTACAACGAAATTTCTCACTCACAAGACTATACATACTCTCAAATTGCATAAAATTTTCACAAAATCAAAAGGAAAAGAAGTCCAGAATTTTCCGTTTCTGCAAAGATATAGGAAGCAAGTGTTTAACCTGAGTTAATTTCATTTTCAAGATTTTGCAGTGTAGTGATTTGCATTTGCTCCTCGGCTGTTATCTTAACTGCTTCATCCTCCACATCTGAAAGTTCATCAATTCAATTTTAGTCTCCACACGCACACTATACAGACCGTGATACAAAATTAAAAAGGTGCAAGCATACAGATACATAAACATAGTACGTATACACAGACATGAACATAATTTATGAATTTGAGTACACAATTTCGACAGAAATAAAATAGCCCTAGATTGATGAGAAAATCTGAAAGTTGATAGTTTTGGAGATCGGAGAGATGCGTACCACTCATTTGAGTGCGAAGAGTCTTCATGCACTGCAAATACTCTTCCATTTTTGCAGAAAACTCAATGCGCAGAGCTATGAGCTGCAGATTTTGTACAGAATTCGCGAGTTTGTGAAGGCAAAATTTTGAAGTTTCAGAGACTGTTGAGCTAGAGGTGAATATTCTGCCTTGGAGGGAAAGATATCAACTGTTCGGTTTTTATATGAACCAGATTAGATAGGCCGGAAAAATGAGCTAAGAATGCCTCACAAGTCTCCAATTAAAAAAAAGACAAGTGGGGCCTCTTCATCTCTTCCTCAATTTAATTTAACTCTTAATTAATATATTGGACCAAATTAGTATTTTTAATACTTAGGAGACTTTATTTTAAATTGTGAAGCATATTAAGAATGGAAAAAACCTTTTAACTTATTCAATTTTCTTTTTAAAACTGAAGTTATAGGGAACGTTGGAATCTCCAAGAACAGGACTTTTTTTTTTTCAAAAAAAAATAAATTCTTCTTCATCTTCTTCAACAACGAGCCTGAAGGACAACTACCAAGTCTTCAACGAGGCTGAAGTATGCTTCTCAATTCCCTTCTTCTTCTTTTTCTTCATCCTCATCATTCTTAATTTGTAAGCATATATGTGGTTTATGAGAAGATCTATCAAGAAAAATTTGTGAAAATGGATACCAAAATTTTTTGAACTTTTTGCATTGCACTGGTTCCGTTTGATCTTGAAATTAACTCAAAAGAGCATTATTGATAAGTATAAAAATTACAAGTCCATTCTTCAGCTAGGTTTATTAAATCTAATTTGATTATTTCAGCCAACAACTTTCGTAGTTGTCTGGACAACTGCTGAAGTTGTTTGTAGAAATAAATAAACATCTCTGTCAGATATAGAAATTGTCTAACAACAGTCTGTAGCTATCGGACGATTATAGAAGTTGTCCAACAACTGTCTGTAGTTATCGGACGATTATAGAAGTTGTCCAACAACTGTCTGTAGTTATCGGACGATTATAGAAGTTGTCCAACAACTGTCTGTAGTTATCGGACGATTATAGAAGTTGTCCAACAACTGTCTGTAGTTATCGGACGATTATAGAAGTTGTCCAACAACTGTCTGTAGTTATCGGACGATTATAGAAGTTGTCCAACAACTGTCTGTAGTTATCGGACGATTATAGAAGTTGTCCCAACAACTACTGCAGTTGTTTGACAGTTGTGTTCAGTTGTTGGTCAACGGATTAGTTTTTAGGACAAGTAATATAATTGTGGGCAAAGTATTAATTGTTGAAATAAATAATTGAAGAATTATAGCAGTCTCCAAAGCTACTAAACTTTTATGCCAATTGTTGATAGTTGTGAGGTAACTAAATAGATGTAAAACAAGTAATCAATGTTCTTTTGCAATTTTGCAGTTCTTTGATGAATGTCTTACTTGTGATGTCTCCAGGTATTGTTTCCCTCTATGGAAGACCATATAATAATAGGAGTTGATTTACATGGTGAATGGGTGGAGAATCCTACTCGTTATACTTGGCGTTCGAAGGGCCGAGAGACAGTACCGATAAAGATAAGCGAGAATGTTACGTACGATGAATTGGTTGACATCATTGTTTCTAGGTTTGACTTAGATTGTGATAAAAATGATCTCTCTATTAGTTACATGCTTGGCTTTATTAAAAAGAAAAAAAGAGCTCCTTCTAGGAAAAGAAACGATCTTGATTTGCGATTTTTTTAGATGATCAAAGTAGGCCAATTTTAAGGATATCTGTGGTTGAGAAGATTATAGAGACTACAAATTCAGTTGTAAATGATGAAGAGCATCCTGTTACAATGGATATTCCTATAAATGAGGAAGCTTCACTACATTCGATATCAACACAAGGTAGCCGCTACACAGATGATGACGGCACAGATTTTTATAAGGGTAAAATTTTCAAGGACAAGCAAGAATTAACTAAATTGTTGAAGCTTGCTTCCGTGAAGAAAGATCAAAGATTCAAATCTGTGAAGAGTTCTAAAGATGTGTATTGTGCTAGATGTGTAGATCAGAATTGTGATTGGTGGTTGCGAGCTACAAAACTTAAAAGTTGTAATAGATTTGAAATTACAAAGTATCGCAACATTCACTCATGTGGGGCACAACACCTTACAAGTCATCATCCACATGCCTCAGCAGATGTCATTGCAGAATACATACAACCTAATTACTTGAATGGAAAAGGTCCCTCCACAAAAGACATAAAAAATATAGTGCAAGCAGATTTGGGCTGCAAGATTAGTTACTGGAAATGTTGGAAAAGCAGTGAGATAGCAAAGGCTATGATAAGAGGGACACCGGAGCACGGATATGCAGTTCTAGATGGTTATCGTCATATGCTTATGACTATAAATGAAGGAAGCAAGACATCGTTAAAGCTTGATGACAAGGGAAGGTTCAAATATTTTTTTGCATCTTATGAAGCTTGGATTAAGAGGTTTGTGCATATGAGAAAAGTTTTAGCCGTTGATGGAACATTCTTAAGAGGTCGTTACGATGGAGTTTTGTTGTCTGCTGTCGCACAGGATACAGAAAATCATGTTTTTCCTGTTGCATTTTGTGTAGTAGATAAGGAATGTGATGCCGCATATGAGTACTTTTTTGAGAAATTGTTGGACATAGTCCCTGATACTTCAGAGTTGTGCATTATTTCTGATAGGCATCCAAGCATAGAAAAAACACTATCAAAATTTTACTCTGAAGCATACCATGGATGTTGCACGAGGCATCTTGGTGAAAATGCCCGTAAAAATTTTCATTGTGGAGCTTTTCTTGGACATTATTACCATGCAACAAAAGCATATCGGAGAGATGTGTTCCATGACCATTTTGAACAAATCCGAATTATCAATGCGGAGGTCGCTGATTATCTTGAGAATGTTGGGTTTCACAAATGGAGTAGAGCATATTTTCCAGGAAACAGGTAATTTCACCCTTACAGTACTTGAGTATGTCACCGTCCATCTCAAACGATGTGAGTGCCTCATGCATTGGTGGAGCACCATCCACTAAACTCTTCTCTCTCAAGTTGTTGTACTGATCATACAAGGTGTTGTAGAAATTTAGATCTAAAATAAGATCTGTTTGGTCATAGTGCTTGGGATACCAAATCTGTCTCTTGCGCATAAGGGACAAGATCTCATCAACATGCTGCCAAAATAAAGTTGAGAGTCAATTCAATATCAATAAATTATTGTATAAATTAAAAATATAGTAGTATTTACCTTGCACTCGAACAAAAAATATGGATTAGTCATGCTCACCAAGTCCTGATAATTAAATCTACCATTCAAATACATTTTTCTTTCCTCTTCCTTTTTGCTAATGAAGACACTAAAGATCTCTCTTTTCTCCACATCAAGAGGTTTGTACAAATTCACTTCCAATCTACTCTTCATTGCATTTTTGGCTTTGGAATTCATGGCCAACCTTCTTTTTAACGCAGGAGTATAAGGAGATTTTCTTGCATAGCTCGGATATATAGTCCTCTTTGATTGCTGCCCATCTAACTTTGTTGACAAAGATTTTACTTCATTCAAAAGAGTTTCATACTTATCACAACATGTTTCACATTTACAGCAACAATCAATATTGAAGGCATTCACATTTGTTGTTTTTATCACACCAGGGGTATCTTCTCCCCTACCAAGATCAGCTAAATATGATTCATCTCTTCCTACTCCACCAAAAGATCTACAAGTATCTAAAGCAATCTGGCCATCACCGTCTCTCTCAACTCCATAATTTCTCGCAACACTATTCTCTCCACCAGTTATCTCAAGACCTTCTTCAACAACAGTTATATTCAGTTTTATAGCTGTTACAAGTGCCAACTCTTCTTTTAAAGCATCAATTTTTGGATCCGAACTATCTTCATATGACTCAATATCTTGAACATAAATTTGTTCCTTCTCTATGTTTGTTTGAAAAAGAAAAGGGTGAACAACCTGATTTTGCATCTGCATTTTAAAAAAAAAAGTTATTCATAATTTAAAAACAACTGAATCAGTTGTCCAATTACAACTTCAGTAATATGTGATTGTGGAAATCACTTTTATTGTTGTTGGACAACTAAAGTAGTTGTGGAAACAAGTTTAGTTGTCTTATAATTACAGTAGTATTTCAATATTGCATAACACAATTAATATTATGTAGAAATATAATATTTTTGAAAAAACTAATTTAGTTGTACAATAATAGCTAAGTTGTATGTTTACAACTTTTACTGTTGTTGGACAACTTGAATAGTTGACGGAACAACAAGTTCAGTTGTCCAATAATTACACTACTTGTTTAACTTTTGCATAACACAACTACTACTATTATGTAGATATAATCTTACTTGTTCTTTTGTCTGATAAATATGATCAATATTTGTCTTGTAAGCAGGTGTTCCAGCCATCCATTTAATCATTCTTGGAATTGATTTTTCAGGTGAAGAATCCTTGGCCAATCGTTGAAGTGCCGGAATAGCTTCAAACGCCCAAGCCTACAATATAATATTAAAAATAGCTTAGTATAGATAATAAAGTCAAATAATAATTTAACTAAAAATTATAAAATAAAAACATCAATTTAATTACTTACGGTGAACGCCCACGGACATCCATGAAGATTATACTGAGATTTGGTTGAATCTAGCTCTTTCATAAGATAGCTAATGATAAGATCAAAGCTAACTCAACCCTATGGATATGAATTGAACACACTTTTTTTGGACGCCATCTTTAGCCAATGAGTTTCTATCTTCTTTTCTGCACTTTTTGAACACATTACACAATGCAAAAACCAACCATACTAATAGCAAGCTTTTGCTTTTTTGGTTAAGCATGGATCACTCATCTTTTCTATGAGTACATCAGCATTTGCCGATTGACCCACCAGATCAACCAAAATTTCACCTTTTTTTCCAATTTTCGCTAATTGTTGACTTAGAGGAGGTAGGGAATGACACCGAAGTCCAGTCATAATAGCGAATTCATTAATGCCAAAACAAAGAGGCAAACCATTATAATCAATCCAAACCCCTTTTTCTTTTCAGAAAATATACGACGAAGCAAAGGCCATGTACTAACTTCATTGGAAGTTGTACTGCTAACAGATTGAATCCAAACTTCAAAAAGTGACTAAAACAAGATTTTTTAAAATCATTTTCAATTTTTTGTGCGACTTAAATATTTCTAAACTCAACAAATTGAGCTCCAAAACCAACTCTCGCATTGATTCTTGAATCATAAGACCCAGACACACTCAAGTGGGTCTTAAACTTATACTTATCATTGGAGAGGATTCAATACCTTCTTCTTCTTTTTCTTCCGATTGTTCACTTTCACTTTCTTCACTTTGTTCCTCTCTACTTTATTCATCTCCATGACTCTCACCATCTTTTTTCTCTTCACTTGAATTTTCGTTGCTATTTTCATCACTCTTTTCTTCATCTGATAGGTCACTGTTATTCTTACTATTTTTTTCCATTTCACTAGATTGATCGTCGCTACTTTGATCACTTTTTTCTTCTCCAGATGATTGTCCACCGATACTTTGAAGTGTTGTGGTACCTCTTTTTCTAGCAGCAGTTAAGCTCTCAGCATTTTCTTTAGCATTTGGATTGGATGAAGAAATTGTTGGACATAGTCCCTGATACTTCAGAGTTGTGCATTATTTCTGATAGGCATCCAAGCATAGAAAAAACACTATCAAAATTTTACTCTGAAGCATACCATGGATGTTGCACGAGGCATCTTGGTGAAAATGCCCGTAAAAATTTTCATTGTGGAGCTTTTCTTGGACATTATTACCATGCAACAAAAGCATATCGGAGAGATGTGTTCCATGACCATTTTGAACAAATCCGAATTATCAATGCGGAGGTCGCTGATTATCTTGAGAATGTTGGGTTTCACAAATGGAGTAGAGCATATTTTCCAGGAAACAGGTAAACTTTCTTACTAGTTCAAACATAAATATTGCAGGTCTCTAACAATTGTTGTAGTTGTTGGAATAATTAGTATAGTTGTTCGAACAATTATTGTAGTTGTTGGGACAATTATTATAATCGTTGGAACAATTATTATAGTTGTCGGACAACTTTCATAGTTGTTTCAACAGCTGCAGAAGTTGTGGGACATTAAAAACAGTTGTTTTCAAAACTACAATAGTTATTAAAAATCTGCAATAGTTTGTATTTTAATTTTTGATATTTTTGAATTTTTATATTTCAGATATGATGTATTGACCTCAAATATTGCTGAGTTTGTTAATGCAATGTTCAAGAGTATAAGGAGATTTCTCCACATCAAGAGGTTTGTACAAATTCACTTCC